GCTTCCACCCGGGACAGAGGTCTTCCCTGAGGACACAGGTGCCCAGGTGGGCGGCCTCCTATTCCTGCCTGCCTCTACCTCCTCAGCGACGCCCTCCAGGCCAGAGTCGGCCTTCCCAGGGCGGTTTGGGGGTCATCACTGCAGGCCGGAGTGAAAGGAGGAGACTGTTGCGGAGCTGGCTTTGGGGATGGCCATGGGCTGTCAGGGTAGTGTTTTCCGGCTTGCATTTTCTTTGGACTTATCTTTCGGTCACGGGGATTTGGGCCCTTTTAATCTTCTGAAGATGAAAGTCCTCTGCTAATGCCTGTGGGCTCTGTGAGCCGCGGGGTGCTGGAATGTAACTGGCCCAGGGAGGAAAGGCCGAAATCCTAGGCTCCGGTTCCTTGGGAAGCTTTTCTCTGCAGGCCCAGGGACATGCTAACTCTAGACATTTAGTTTAAAACACAAGTCCCGGGTAATCAGGGCAATCCACTATGGTAACTTAAGGAAAAAGTATACGTTTTCTCCCCAAAAGTACATGCGAGCCTCTGCCTACTGCCTTTTGGATGCCTGAGTTGAAATGGCGCGGTTCCACGCGTGGAGTGGCTTCCGCATAACAGGGGAAACCTCTGGAAGACAAGATCTGGAATTTGGTTTGGACTTTGAGTTATTCCCTGCTCAGTGTGTGTGCGTGCGAGTGTGTGAACTCCATGACTGTTCTTCTTTGATAATCCATATAAAATTATTTTCAGAGCATGTAATGATGGGGTTTCAGAAAGAACAGAAAGACATTGTGCTTCATGTCTCTCATTGTCTTCCAATCATTAAGGAAGGAAATGCACTCAGAAAGCCATCCCAAAGAGCCCACGAATGTTTGCAGACATTTAGTTGGTCACTTTTTCCATGAGTTTCTTTTATAAAAAGAAACCGTATAAGCCTGATATCTTAACTGTCTTAACAGTTAAGATGCAGTTTATCTTATACATTAAGAAAAGTTCTCCAAAGCTGCTGCAGCACACTTTATATTTCTTCATTGGGCGTGACTTTAATGATCGTACCTGCATTTATGTCGTGCTTATTCAAACATATCTCTATTGTTAGGTCTACTGAAATTTTTTTTTAATTTTTTTTTTTTTTTTGCAAATAAAGTTATCATAATTGAACTATGTAAACACTCACATGCACACATTGCTGCTTCGGCACCGATTGTCACTCTCCTCCCGGCTCATTGTTTTGGAGGCCCCGTGACGCCGGCTATCACGCAGCTTACTGTGTGCAGGTGCTGCTGTGAGTGAGTCTCCCGTGTTCTTCCAACAGCGCCGTGAGAAAGGACCATTATTCCGTTGTTGTCGTCCCAGAGAAAGAAGAGGCATGTGGGGATAATAAGTAACTTGGCAAGGTCACACAGCTGCCGGGTGGCACGGCTGAGACTCAGGCTCTGGCCACCTGGCTCCAGAGAGTGTCAAGAGTTTGGGCTTCCGAGTTCAGCCACCCACCTAACTTGTGACCTTGGGTAAGTTACCTGACCTCTCTGAGCCTCAGTTTCCTCATCTGTGAAATGGGGATGAGTTCTGCCTCCTCAGCTTCCGTCAGATGATGGCTAAGGGTGCTCAGTGTGCCCGTCACGGAGCCGGCACCTAGTGAGCATGCACTTTGCCCTTCCGGGTTCTGCAGCCATCCGCGGCGGTAAAGCGGAGCTCCCCCGGCCCGCTCTCTGCTCGGGCTGCGCCATGCGTCTGCAGTGGGGCTGTTCTGAAGGTGCGGCCTGTCCCCGTGGGGAGCAGGGAGCTGAGGTTTGTTGGGACTCGCTGCACGGGGGCACCTGCTTTGTGCTCCTGGGCATGGCTGCGGGGGCGGCATCGCGCACTTCAGGGGCTCTTCCCAGCCTCGGGAGGGTTGGCCGTGCCTGGGAGGCTGGAACGAGCCTTCATCTGTGCTTCGCTTGGGCCCTGGAGAAAAGCACTTGAGGAGGCCACGAGTGGTCCCCAGACGTCCGCAGTCGTCCTGTGCAGGGCAGACCCGGCCTCTTCCACCTCGTGCTGGTGCATTCTCCAAACCGCTCGGGCGCAGAGCTCCGGGAGGACAGCCTGGCAGCACCGCGGAGGCTGAGCAACCCGGCTCCCTGCCAGCTGTGCAGACCCGCCTCCACCGGAGCGCTCGTCCCGGCGTGTGCGCCGCGGCCGGGCTTTAAGCTGGAGCCACTTTGGGAACTGCCCGCGCGCCCACGAACCGTAGGGTGGGGAGGTGAATTGTGGTCTTGTAAAACCACGAGCGTCACACGTGATGAGGTGAGGGCACATTCACAGCGATGTGTGCACACGGGTCACACAGGCACCAGTCCGCGAAGGACGCCGAGCGCGAAAGGACAGGTGCGGTGCCACGCCCCAGGTGGAGCGCTCACGACAGGCGGACTGACCTGCGGTCCAAGAAGTCGGGAGCGCAAGGGCTTGGAGACGTTCCGTTTCTTGGTCTGAGAGGAGCCTCCGTAAGCGGGTTCGCTTAGTGACAGTTTGCTGCGCTGCACACGCGGGGCTTGCGCACACGCTACACGTATGTATCTGTGCAATTAAAAGTTCTGACAAGCCAGCAGAGGAGGCTCCTCACCGAGCTGTCAACATGGCCACAGGTACTGGTGGTGGTGAAGGCGTTTGGTGTGCCCAGGACCTGGGTCTGGGCCACGGGACAGCCGTGGGTGTCAGGTGCCCACCCACCACCCAGGTGGCAGAGGCCTGGCCAGGGCACCTCTCCCCGTGGTGACACAGTCAGCTCTTTGCCTGGCCGTCTCACCCTGCGGCCACCTCCTGAGGCTCACTTGGTTCCCAGGTGGCCACCCCTTCTAGAAGCTGCCACAGAAATCCCTCCTTCCCTTCCACATTCTCTGTACCTAGACGTGGGGGACGGTGACGGCCCCACGGCCATTCCTCCCCGTCCGGCCTGGCCTTTCCCACAGGTTGGGCCAGAGGACAGGTGCTCCTCGTGGGCACCAGGGGAGGGTGTGACAAGGAGAGCTGTCCTCGGGGTGGGGGCCGTGGCATGGTTTCTGGAGTATTCCCCTGTCCGGCGGCTGTCCAGATGCGGTGCAGGATTCCAGCCGCTGCGGTTCCTCTGAACCACAGCGGCCACCTGCCCGAGGTCTCCCTGAAGGCAGAGCTGCTCCTGTGCCCAGCCGCCTCCCTCGGCCTCAGTCTCACCTGCCCCGTCTTCCCAGCAGGGAACAGCCCCAGTGGATAAGTCCTTAAGGCTCCCTGCCCTCACCCCAGTATCTTTTTGCACTATTACTAAGGTTTAAAACATATTTTTGTTTTGAGACAGGGTCTTGTTCTGTCACCCTGGCTAGAGTGCAGTGGTGTCATCCCAGCTCACTGCAACCTCAGACTCCCGGGCTCAAGCGATCCTCCTGCCTCAGCCTCCCGGGTAGCTGGGACTACAGGCACCCACCACAATGCCAGGCTAAGTTTTCTATTTTTAGTAGAGACGGGGTCTCATTCTTGTTCAAGGTGGTCTCAAACTCCTCAAGGTATCCCACAGAGTGCTGAGATTATAGGCATGAGCCACCCCACTTGGCCTAAAACAGATTTTTAAATGGAGATCTGTGGGAAGGGTCTTGGGGCTGCCTGTGGTGGGAACCTCCTTGCTCAGCGCCCTGCCCTCCTGCCGTCCTGGCAGCTGAAACCCACCCTGCGAGCTGAGCCCCCGGTCACGTTTCTCCTCCCTTCTGGCCCTCTGGTGCCCAAACTGCTCCACTGTTTCTCCCCGTCTCTCTGGTCCCCCACCCCAGGCAGGAAGTGGAGATGGGGCTGTGTCATCCAGGGGGTGGCAGGTGTCTGGGGGTCTGCAGACCGGCCCGGGCTTGCTTGTTCTGCCCCGTCCCAGCACTTGGTGACACCCAGCATCACCCCTGCTCCACTTGGTCCAGAGGGTGCACGACCTGGGGGACCACGGGTCCACCCCCAGAGACACTGTTCCCCGGCTTCCGTCATGGTCTTCATCATCCGTGAAACGCACGTGACAACTCAGTGTGCTGTCACTGCCAGCGTGAGGGAGATAGGTTGAGTGAGGCCTTTTGCCTTATTTTGACTTATAGTCATTTTCCAAAGCCCTCCCAGGCTCTGCCATTCACCTCTTCTTACAGCTTTTAGTCTGGGACTGTGGTCGTAAACCCTGGATATGAGTTAGAAATATCTGGGGGTGCTTTAAAAAGTACAGACTTTCAGATCCCCTCCCCAAAGACATTGGTTCCCTTGGTTCAGGGTGGGGTAAGAACAGCCCTGCACTGGGGCCCGGTTTTGCTTCTCTTCCCAGCTCCATGCTCAGTGGCCTTACTCTGGGAGCTTGAAATCGGCCAGGTTGGCAGTATTTACACCATGGAAATTGGCCAGTACTCCAGATCAGGTCCAGAAAGCCAGGTGTTGAGTGTTTACCAGCCACCACTGGGCATCAACATTTTTTAAAAGCTTCCTTGGTGCTTTTCATGTGCAGTCGGGGCTGAGAACCACCGGCCGAGGTATCCCTTGACAGGCACAGTAAGGTTTATGTTTACCGACAATAGCTGAGAGTTCTCTGGCTCTAACAGGTGTTTATTGATGTGCATTAGATCACTCAACCCTGACAACAGCCCACGAAGGAGGATTATCATCCCCATTTGTTAGATGAAGACATCGAGGTCCCCGTAGGTTGCCTGGTACCTTGTCCAGGGTGACACTGCTGGGTAGTGGCTGAGGCTGGCGTCTGGCCCAGGCCTGAGCCTGGCCGGGACCTTGGATGGCTGTGGGCAGTGCCCCACTTCTCCCAGCAGGTTGGATGCAGCGTCCTGCTCCCGTTGTTCAAGGTGACCCTGGGGTCTGAGCCTGTGCCCCTCCAGTGTGTGGTGTGTTGGTGAGGAACAGGCGGTTGTCACCAGGGCCACCGGCTGTGGGCAAGTCTCCATCTAGCTTAGCGAGGTGCTTGGACTGTGAGCCGGGAGAGTGAAACCAGGACACTAACGGGCTTTTGGTGCTGGTGTGTGTTTTCTTCCCTTCCAGTGGAGCACGACAAAGAATTCTTCCACCCGCGCTACCACCATCGGGAGTTCCGCTTTGATCTCTCCAAGATCCCAGAGGGGGAAGCCGTGACCGCAGCAGAATTCCGGATCTACAAGGACTACATCCGGGAACGCTTCGATAACGAGACGTTCCGCATCAGCGTTTACCAGGTGCTCCAGGAGCACCTGAGCAGGTGGGTGCTGTGCTGGGGCCTGGGAGGGGTGTGAGCTTCCTCCAGCGACCGAGGAAGAGGGGGTGCTGGCAGGAGGGCCCCGCCAGACGGGCTTCCGCCGTGCAGCCCCAGCCGCGTGCCAGGCCCGCACCGGACATCATTTTAAAAGGAGGCGTGCGGTGTGTACCGCTGTTTCTTAAAGCTGTCAACGTCAGTGACTCTAGTTGGGAATGGCAGCAGGAAGCCCAGGGACGTGTGGTCCCGTGTGGGTATTTCTGGGCCTTCTGGGTCTGGCCCAGAAGGGAAGGGGAAGAGGAAGACACGTTTTTTGTTATTTATTTATTTTGCTTTTTTGAGACAGTCTCGCTTTGTTGCCCAGGCTAGGGTGAGTGCCATGGCGTCAGCCTAGCTCACAGCAACCTCAGTCTCCTGGGCTCAAGCGATCCTCCTGCCTCAGCCTCCTGAGTAGCTGGGACTACAGGCATTCGCCACCATGCCCGGCTAATTTTTTCTATATATATTAGTTGGCCAATTAATTTCTTTCTATTTATAGTAGAGACGGAGTCTCGCTCTTGCTCAGGCTGGTTTCGAACTCCTGACCTGGAGCAATCCGCCCGCCTCGGCCTCCCAGAGTGCTGGGATTACAGGCGTGAGCCACTGCGCCCGGCCAGAAGAAATGTTTTTGAAGGTTCATCTGCTGAAACCCAGTACACGATGTCAGGCAACCAATGAAAGTGGCCATTTGCAATAAAATGTTAGGGGGGGAAAAAAAACCCAAACCAAAAACAAACACAGAACTCTTGGCCTTCCAAGAATCACTAGGTCAGAAACCAAAGTTTGTGCTGAAAGTCTTTAATTTCTTGAGACCCTTTAATTTCAAGGTCTTGTGAGAGGTAAGAAGGCCGAGGGAAGGTCTGGACCATCCAGCAAGTACGTTCCACCGTCCGGGGTGGCGGTGACTGAGGTCGTGTTACCCGGTGGTTGGGTTGCTGGACTCCTCCACTGTCGGGCTTCTGTGCCCCCCGCTGTGCCGTGGGGGTTCATGGCAGAAGGGCCCGTGGGCGCCTCCCTCCGCCGGTCGGCCCCGCACCTTCAGTGGGAAGGCGACCGGGACTGGTTTCCCCAGATGGGGCAGAGGGACCTCCCTGCCCTGTTGCCGAGCACTGCTATTTTGGGGGTCATCTTAAATACTGAGGAAACAACACTTTTCTTGAGTCTTTCCATGTTTTGCATTTGTGATTTCATATTCGCAAGAACCTTCCAGGGAGGTGACCGCAGAACAGGGAGAAGGGAGGCGGCCCGGAGCCAGCGGGCGAGGCCGCCCCGAGGGGACATGGCCACGTCAGGCCTTGAGCCCAGGCTTGGGGAGCTGCGGGCCCTGCTTACGGAAAGCGTTCCTTTTGAAGATTTGGTTCTGAAGAGGTGAGACAGGTCCACGGTATAAAATCGGAAAGAAAGAAACGTAGCTCGGGGAGAGGGAAGGCCCCGCCTGCTGCCGAGCCCGGGGCCCACCCCGGAGGCGGCTCCGGTTCCGGGTTCCCGCGTCTCAAGTCGGCAAACACACGTGTGCGTCTGTGTGTTTTCACAGCGGAGCCCCCGCTCGCTCCCTCCCACACCCGCTGCTGTCGCCGGACCTTCACACGGGGCGTCGTGGCCCTCGGTCCCGCCGCGTGGGCCGTGCCGCCAGGTGCTTCCCTGTTTCCCAAGCGCGTGCGGCGGCTTCTCTCTTCTGCCGTGTGGACGGCGGCGCTGTGGACCCCCCTGGACACACCTGTGCGCTCCTGTCATGCAGATAAATTCTGGAAATGCTACCGTGGGGATGGAGGGCACAGCGTCGGCGGCCTTGGTAGAGGTTGCCGGGCAGCCCTCCTTGGAGGCCGCGTCTCGTCCACGCCCAGCAGGGAACAGGGAGCAGGTGGTTTCCCTTTTGCTCACCGAGTAGGTCTCTGACCAAGTGTTGTCAGGCTGGTGGTGACAAATGAATGGCATCTCAGTGTGGTTTAAATTTGCATTTTAGAGCCCGCCCCCCCATGCACTGCCCCGTACAGGCCCCTGCGGAGGTATGGCCCGGGCGTGGGGCCGCCAGCCTTGGCAGTCGCCTCTAAATCTCACCACTCAGGCGCCTCGCTGGACCCTGGGGGCCGTGCGCTGGCCCCCAGGCCTAACTGCAGGGAGAGGCGGGTGTGGAGCTCCTTCTCGGGGGTTACAGGTGTGCACCCTGCGCTCTGGCAGGTGCCCCAGGGCTTAGCACAAGAGCATGTGTGTGATTTTTCCTACAAAGGCGGATTAATCGGGCGAGGCAGGGCCCCAGAGGCTGTTCACCAGTGGCACCTGATGGGTCCCGTCCTGCGAAGCCCGCCCGCCTGCCCGGCCTCAGAAAGCTCTGCCGAGAGTTTCACTGCAGGAATGTGGCGGCCCCGAGTGTGTTTGGCTGGACAGAACTGGAAGGGTCAGCCGGGGTCACCGGTGCGCCTGCTCTGAGCTCTGGCAGGAACGCGTCCCTTTCCCGGGTGGCCGTGCCCGGTGCTCACTGGGTCTGGAGGGCATCTCTGACGCCAGGCTCCTTCCTGCGGCGGCTTCGCGGCTGCGGGCATCCCGGGCGCTGCTCCTCTTTGTGGGCCGGCCCTGATCCTGCTCCTGTTCCACGCGGGGAGGGCGCAGTGGCCAGCAGGCGGGGCACGGTGCTGCTGCGCGGAGGTCAGAGGCCACGACGTTACAGGTGGGCTGTGCATGCACCTGTTTAACCACCGCCGAGCGCCGCCAGGGCGGGCCTGTTCTCAGAACCGAGGCTACGGGAGCAAAACAGACAGGGTCGAGAGAGCAGGGACCTCACCTGGGACTCTGGCTGGGGTCTGGGGGGGACCTGGAGCTGCTCAACAGAGCACCATGACTGCCTGGCTCCGAACATCAGAAGTTCACTCCCTCAGCGCTCTGGAGGCCAGAAGTCCGGAATCAAGGTGTCGGCAGGGCCGTGTCCCTCTGGAACCCGCAGGGGAAGACCCTCCCTCCCCTCCTGCCGTTGGTGGTTGGCGTCGCCTGGCATTGTCAGTCCAGTCTCTGCCTCTGTCACCACCTGCCCTGTCTGTCCTCACGTGGCGTCTCCCCATGTGTGACGTCCGCAAAGACCCTGTTTCCAGGTACGGGCGCGTTGACGGTTACCAAGGGTTAGGACTTGACTGTATCTGCCGAGGGGATGCAGTCCCCCCAGAACACGGCTGAAGACGGGCGGTGGACAGGTGAGCCGGCGAACAGACAAGCTGGTCGCTGTGCGTGGTCCGGGAAGATGACCGTGTGATGGGTGGACGTCGGATGGGGGTCTTGCTGAAGGAGTTGGCATGTTTCAGGGACAAGACTGACCTGGGGGCAGGCACAGGGGGAAGGGTGTCTCGGGGACCCGCCAGCGTGGGCTGCAGGGAGGATGGAATCAGGGCCGGGCGGCGTGAGCACCTTACTCCTAGTCTGGGCCCTCAGCCCCGGCTCCAGCAGCTCCTCGGCTTCCTGCTCCTGTCGTCCTGCTGAGCGTGTGGGCACCTAGTCCTGTCGCAGCTTGAGGCGGCTGCCTACGCTGTCCTGCCTGAGATGCGGGGTACATCCCGAGGCCCCGTAGCGGGAAGGGGCGGCGACACACACCTCCTCAGCTCCCTGGCAGGCTGCTGGGGCCTGGGGGTGCCCGCCCAGTGCTGGGGGGCTGCTCCTGGGGGCCTCTGGCTTGCGGGGGAATCACGTCCCCACTCAGCAAACGCTTGAGCACCTGCTGCGTGCCGTGCACGGGGGCGTTCATGCAATCCCTGCCCTCTGGGAGCTCCTCTTTGGGCAGAGGTGAGGGCGTGGCAGGTGAGAGTATTAAGCAGGGAAGGGAGGGCCTTGAGAGGCATCGGGAGGGGCGGGAGGGGCTGCTCTCTTTAGATTTCCAAATTTTCTTCCTGTGCCTGAAAGAGGGAAGCAAAGCTCTCATTCTTCAAAAGATAAAAGGGTAACGTTTAATATGTGTGTGTGTGTGTGTATGTATATATTCATAAAATTTCTGGGCTGGTGGTTTTGTTTTTGAATCTAGAACCAAGACCGTGATGTAATTGCCCAGGTGGGAAAAGCCAGCTGTTGAGGCCATGGATTCAAACCCTAGCTCCAGATACCAGCGTGGCTGTGGGAAAGAGTAGCCCTTCGAGCCTCAGTTTCTTCTTCTATAAAATGGGGGTAATAACTGAATCCCCCTGCCAGGGCTATGGCGAGGACGGAGGGAGGTAACACACTCAGAACAGCGTCTGGTAAACAGTAAGCGCTCCATAAACGTCCACTGGTACCAGTGTCACCCCCACGGCAGAAGTGGCGAGACCGTCTTGGGGGAGTGGGGGCGCTCTGGGTGGCGGCTGGTCGCCGCCTTCCCCGTGTGCTTTGTGCTGAACCCCCGCGTTCTGCGGCCCTGGTGGGGACCCGGCCCCAGCGTGCACTGCTCTTCGAAGCCCTCCTGCGTCCCTGGCGCTCCCTCCTCTGTGCGTGCTCAGCGGGGCCAAGCCTCCCCTCCGGGCAAGCCTGGACCTGCGTGTCCTGGCCGCCGCCCCCCGCCCAGCTGCGCCGGGCTGGGACATCTGGCTCTCTGGCGAGCTCCGCCTGAGCTCCAGGAAAGCCCCGGGGGTGCCAGGGATTAGCCGGCTTTGGGGCGGCCTCAGCCTCTCTCCCCCGTGGGAGTCGCTCTCCACCGAGCCCTCTTGATCTCTCGGAATCCAGATTAAATTCCGATAATGAGCCGCGCTGGAGGCCGTCCCCCGCCCTGCGGCCCTGCTCACAGCGGCCCCAGACAGCGGGAAACACACGCCGGGGCCGCCCTTGGCGGGCCGTGGAGCAAGCGGGGGCCTGAGCGGCAGGCCTGGGGACGGTGGCCCTGGCTCCAGAGGCCCTGCTGGGAGCGTGGGGGTGGCTGATGGAGCGCAGCCTCATCCTCATCGTCTGCCCCCTGCGCCGAGGCCGGGCCAGCTGGGGCCTGGCTTCCGGGATGGGCACCAGCTCCTGCCCTGCTGGCACGC